AAGGGGCTTCAAAAAGCTCACGGGAGAGTTTCATGTCTTTTAATTCTGTTTCCCCACGAAGCCCCCTCGTGTCCTCTGGCTGCTGTTGGGGTCTTCCTGCACCAGAGCTGTGGCTGCAGGAGTGCGCCCTGAGCTGGTGTGAAGAGGCTGACGACAGGGCCATTTCCCCAGTTACAGGAGTTACCAAACCGGTTCCGTTGGTAAGAAAACAAAGCGGCTCAGAAACTAAGGGGGAAACAAAGCCTATGCTCACATTTCATATTTTTATTTCATCTGTAGAAATTCCTTTTTAGGAATAATAATCTCTGAAATAACCATAGAAAATCTGGAAAAGAGAAGGATGGGTCCCCTTGTGCCCCGGCCCTTGAGCTCCCGTCACGGGAAGCGCAGGCGTGCTCAGGCCCCACCTGTGCAACCTGACCGCAGGAGACCAGTCCCGCTCCCCCAGGCAACGCGGCGCCCTCTTCCCTTCATGCCAGCCTCCACCAGGGCCAGCTGCGGCCTGGAGGTCCCACCTGCGATGAGCCCCAGCCTGGGAAGCGAGTCTGTCATTGCCTTCCGTGGCCTCTGCATCCTGGGGGTCAGTGGCAGGAAGCCATCTTCACCCCCTGCCTTCCTCCTGCTCCTCTCTGTGTGCCATCTCCAGTGCCCGGGTGAGAATCCAGTTGGAAGCCAGGGTAGAATCAGGCCCAGGTTTGAACCTCTTCTGTAAGGGTTTTCGAGTGGGTAATACCTCAGTTCTTGGCTTTGCACGATGAAAGAATTCACGCCGAAGCCTGTCTTGTATGGCAAGTGGGTTTTTAGGAAGGATGGGACAAGTGGCAGGTTTTACAGTCTCACAGGGGTTCCCAACTGGGCATGATCAACCCTGTGGAAAAATGTACCCACACGTGCGGGACTGGGGAGGGATCCTGGGTGGCCAGAAGCCCAAGAACCTAGAGGCTTACAGCATGTAGGCCCAGATGCAGTGGCATGGGGACCAAGAGGCTCCGGGCCCCAAACAGGCCAGGAGCAGGCCCTGAGGGGGCACATCCAGGCTGTGCTGGTGCGCCCCCACCCTCCGACCTGCCTGTGACCAGGAGCAGTGGAAAAGAGAGTAAGAGGCTGTGAGACTCTCACCCCCCCTGCTGCTAGGAGCCTTAAGAGAGAGCAAGAGCCAGAGCATGCTCGGGCCTTGAGTCTGGCCCACCCCCTGGCTGGGGGAAGGCGTGGTTGATGGTATTGGTTGACCCCATTGGCTGGGTTGAGCCCACCTGGGTGATGTCATGGGCCTGGGCCTAGTTTGGACCGCCTAGGTGTACCCCCAACCTGGCTGGGGGCTTGAGTAGGAGCATGGTCAATTTGGGGCTTTCATAGGCGTCTAATGGTTGCCTGATTTTCTTCCAACCTCCTTATGGGGGTCTTTGCAGGCATGGGAGGGACAACCCCCTGTCCCTAAACCTAGCTGCCTAACACCTTGTCTTCAGTTAGCTCTGTGATCTCGGGCAGAAGAGAAAGTCTCAGTTTCTTGTTCTGCAGATTGGGCATTACTGAAACCCAGGCAAGACAATGGGTGCTTGGGAACAGTAGCTGAAGTTATGTATTGTTCTCTCTGTCCAGACTAAACATTGTGGATTTTCCTCAAGATTAAATGTTCTCTTTTAACATTTTCCGCCCACTTTCCGTAGCTCTTATATTCCAGGGCTTCAGTCATTTGGGGGCTTCTCTTGGCCTCCTTCAGTTACGGTGTCTCAGCTCTGGAAGGGCACAGGAGGGAGGGAGAGGGAGCTGTTTGGTTGAGCATACACCACATCCGAAACCATTTTCCCTTGCGGCAATGCTCAGTGTTCTTCCCACTTGGTAGATGAGGAAGCGGGGGCCGAGGGTCTTGGGGTCCTTTGCAAACCCAAGGTTACGCCCCAGTCAGGAAGGGGAGGAGCTGGGATTTGAACCCGCATGTTCCTGACTCAAAGCCCAACGTGTGTTCCTCTGCTCCGTTGCCTTTGCAGGACATTGCAAGGCTTTTCCTGTTCGTTTTAGAAGTTCAGAGACCATGGCATTGTCTGTGTGCTTTCTGGCTCAGTTAGTCACTTTGGCTCCATGGTAATGCCCTTGGCCAGGTGCTCGGGATGTGGACAGGTGTCTCATGGAAAGTCCAAGAGTGTCCTGGGTGACCAGTGGTACAGCTGACACCTTTCCCCGGCAGGAAGACAGGCAGCAAGCCAGAACAACAGCGGGTTTAGAGAGGGCCCCAGGAAGGGGGCCGGTGGCTGTGAGAGAAAAAGCACTCATGGAAACTAGTGGGCCACTGGTGACTTAGCCATGACCAACCCAATTGTCCCCTGAACTCTGCACATGTCCTGGGGGTGACAAATGCTGATCTGTGCAGAGAGATGAATACATCCTAATAGAAGTCCTAGTCAGCTACTCCTGCAGCTGAGATAGATACTCAGCTTACTGCCATCTTTAGTCAATGCTGATTCACAGCGACCCTCAGGACAGAGTAGCTGGCCCTGTGGGTTTTCCAGATCGTGTAACTCTTGGTGAGACTGAAAAACCTCATTTCTCTCCCTACGAACAGCTGGTGGCTTTGAAATGCTGACCTCATAGTTAGCAGCCCAACACACAACCATGACGCCGCCAGCACTCGATGCCTAAGATATAGGCCACTAAAATGCGTGCGTCATGTAAATGAATTATCCAGAATCACTTTCCTTTTTTTGGGAAAGCATCGAAGGGCCCTTAGAACCTGGCCAGTTATATATTCATAATTTGAATGTTTATATTTTCATAGTTTAACTATAGATTTGGAAGCAAGTGAGTTTGAAGATGACTTCACGGAATCAGGATGATTCAGGGAGCCTGCCTCAGGGGCCCGGGGGTGTGATGGGTGAAGTGCTGGGCTACTAACCTCTCCAGCCACTCTGCTGGAGAAAGAAGAGGCTGGCTGCCCCAGTAAAGATGTGCAGTCTCAGAGAGAGTCCTTATGGTGTGCGCGACTCTGTCCTGTAGGGCCCCTAGGAGTCGGTGTCAACGCGATGGCGGGTGGGCTTTTTCACTGGGAGCAACTTCTCCCACGGCAGCGGGAGTGCTGCTCAGTTCTGAGTCTGTAGGCTGGAGTGAGCCCGAGGGTGCATTTCCAGCAGGCTCTCTTTGAAGCCAATACTGAAGGCCCGCCTCAGGTGAGGCTCTGAGTGCTGCCACTCTGCTGTCCCCACAGGGAGCTCTGGCTCTACCTGGGGCCAAGCCTTGATCCTCACTCGCCCACCACTGCCTTTTCTCCATCCTCCACTCCCTTCCGATGCGTCTCCTTCTCCAGAGGGAGCAGTCCCACCCTGCAGCACCCTCCACTCCAGATCTTGGTTGGGTTCCATCAAGGCTCATGCCCTACCCCCTACCTCTCACCCCCCCACACCCACACCCACATTTCAACCACTGCTAGGGGGAGTGCTTTTCCAGCTGGCTGGCCTGGGTCCCCATGCAGGACCGAATTAGTTTAGCTCTCAGATTCCTGAGATGCCTCGCTATCTCTCCAGAAAAAATTTCCACCCAGAGTTTGAAAAGTTCCTAGCCTTCCCTGGCCACCCACGGATATGAGGCTAACACATTTGCTCAGGGGATGATCCGTGACCCAGGAAATGGCTTGGCTGATTCTGCGTTTGTTTAAGTAATGCCTCGACGCCATGTTTTGCTCTTGATTCTCTGCTTGTAGAAAACTCGGACAGGCGGACTTTCTAAGTACGTTTTCCTATTACAAAAGCAATACCTCTCTATTCTGAAACTCAGAAAAGCAAAACGAAAATTTTGAATAAATCTAATGTTATAAAAATAGCAATAACACAGAGATAACCAATGGTAACACTTTGCTTTCAATGTTTACACGTCTTGTTTTATAAATGTGGCTCCCTTTACATGCGGTGCTTTGTAAACTGCCTCCCGCCCTCAGGGAAGAAATGCTGGGGTGATTCTCATTTGCAGAAGTGCCCCTTTGAGCTGAGCCGGTGGGTTTACAAGTCAGTACACCTTCTACAAAAAGTCGATTAAAAAATGATTGTTGTTTCCCACTTAACATGTTTAACTAATTTGTGGCTCAAAACTTGGCCCTTCTCCTTGGGCTACTTCTAGGCAGTTAGATGATAGGGTCAAAGTTCATGAACTTCTTCCTGGTTTGCCCTGGTGCTAACAAACCGGATAGTGTGGCTTTCAGGTTCTCACTGCCAAACCATGTCCCAAGTCAGTGTCTGCCATCCCCGCTAACTTCCCAGGAGTGACTTTGGAAACCAAGGAATTTCAGCTCT